AGGACGCCGGGGGTGCCGGGCCCTGAGTCCCCCTATACTCCGTGACATGTACCATAAAAGAGAGACTATGAAGAGAGAGACTAGACGACTGTGCCGGTGGTGACTGTAATTGTGAGTGACTGTAATTATGTGTAGGGAGGTGTAGTTAAGAGCTTATGACTGAATGACTGTAGATGTGTGTGCGACTGTGACTGTACACCTACAACTGGTGTGTGTGTGTGTGAGAGAGAGAGAGAGAGAGAGAGAGACTGACAGATTGTGTGGCTGTGGTTGTATCTCTGAATGACTGTAGCTAGGCATGTGACTAAGAGATTGTCTGTCCGGCTGTGAACGTGCATCTGTGAGCGACTGTCAGGGGTGTGCATGTGTCTTAGGAGACTGTACCCCCATGACCGCCGTTGGTGTGAGCTTGAAACCCTGCGGAGTGTGTTCCCTGCATCTACACTCAGCCACAACACACAGAACGGGTGTGTCCCCCCCCCACCACCTCCCTAGGGATGCCCGGGGCTAACACACAGACACAGGCTATGCCAGCTACACAGCGACCACAACCCAATTTATTATTATATACAAAATTGGCTACTAAGCGGCTCACGACAAGGGGGTCCGGAGCTACCGCGCCTCCAGCTGAACGGCAGGAGAACATACACTGAACCGGACGGAGGACCCCGGAGCTGGGTCACATGCCAGACCCTGGTGACCGGCTCTAGGTAACTACGGAAGGGATTTCGAATCGACCCCACCCCCGCCCCTCCGGTCCAGAGACAGGATGGGCCAGCCTAGAGGTGACAGGCAGAGGTGTAGCGAGCACCCTCTGTACCCTCCGACCGGAGGGGGCCCCGCAAGGAAGGGGGCCCCTAAAAGTGGCAAAAAAAATTTAAGGGGCCCCGCCCGGACATATGTTCGGAGGGGGCCACATTCTTTGTTGCTACGGCCCTGGTGACAGGCCAGGACGCCTGGGTTCCAATCCCCTCCCTGATGGAGCATAAGCCCCCCGGCCCCCCCCCCGCACTCAGCAGTGTGTGAAATTGGGGAGGATCCTGGCAGTGGGGGATGGGAAGGGGAGTTACTTAATGGGGGGTAAAGCGCTATTGAAATGTTACGCTGATTATTAGCAAGGATTATCATTTTTCCCCGAAGTCCCATGCTCAAACTCCCCACCCCAGGAATGGAACCCAGGAGTCCAGATTCCCATCTCCCCCTGCTCTAAACACCAGAACTGGGGATAGAACCCAGGAGTCCTGGCTCCCGACCCGCCCTGCTCTAGCCCACCAGACCCCACTCCCCTCCCAGAACCGGGGAGAGAACCCAGGAGTCCTGGCTCTTAGCCCCGCCCCCCCGCTCTAATCCTCCAGACCCCACTCCCTCCCCCAGCTCTGTTAAAGGAAGGGGGGTTGGGAGCCAGGACTCCTGGGTTCTCTCCCTGGCTCTGGGAGGGGAGGGGAGGGGGGCTGGTGGGTTAGAGCAGGGGGGCTGGGAGCCAGGACTCCTGGGTTCTCTCCCCGGCTCTGGGAGGGGAGGGGAGGGGAGGGGGGCTGGTGTGTTAGAGCAGGGGGGGCTGGGAGCCAGGATGCCTGGGTTCTCTCCGCATCTCATGCAGCTGTGAGACGGGAGCTGTAGGGGTCACCAAGTCCCTAGTGGGATGGGAGCAGGGGGCCAAGCCAAGTCTCTGGGGGGGTGACACAAGGTGGGGGGAGGCGTGTTCCCACCCCCCCCTTCACAGCAGGAGGCATGTCCCCGATTTGCTGCTGACGCTGTTGGCGGGCGCGTTGGGGTCGAGGTCCCTGGGGACAGTGCCCTTGGCCCCCCACACGTTCAGTTCCCCGAAGACGCCGGTCTCCACCATCTCCTCCTGCCAGGGGATGGGGATGTTGCCAGAGGAGAAGTCCTCGTAGAACGCCTTGTCCTGCTCGTCCAGCACCACGCCCTTCACCGTGGAGAAGGCGCCCACCTCGCCGATGTCCTTGGCGTAGACCGTCTTGGGGTCGGGCACGAAGGGCGGCTCCACCAGGCCTGGGGGGGAGGTGGGGGGCGCATGGAAACCGGGCTGGGGCGGTGGTAGGGGTGTGGAATGACAGCCCCAATGCAGAACGCGACCCGCCGCATGCACAACCCAACCCTGGGGACACGACCACCCAGTTCTCCACCGCAACCACCGCACGCACAACCCCGCCGCAACCACCGCATGCACAACCCAACCCCGGAGACAACACCCCCCCGTTCCCCACCGCAACCGCCGCATGCACAACTTAACCCCATGGACACCACGGCCCCTTTCCCCTCCACAACCGCCGCACACACAACCCAACCCCGCGGACACCACCACCCCGTTCCCCACCGCAACCACCGCACGCACAACCCCACTGCAACCACCACACACACAACCCAACCCCGCGGACACCACCACCCAGTCCTCCACCGCAACCACCGCACGCACAACCCCATCACAATCACCGCACTCACAACCCCACCACAACAACCACATACACAACCCAACCCTGCAGACAACACCGCCCAGTTCCCCACCACAACCACTGCACGCACAACCCAACTCCACAGACAACACCGCCCAGTTCCCCTCTGCAACCACCACAGGCACCACCCCAATACAATCACTGCACGCACAACACAACCCTGTGGACACCTCAGCCCTGGGGATGGGTTGGGGGGACTCCTCGTCCTAGTTCTGTGGGGGGCTCGGGGGATGGGTAAGGGGTACCCCTCTTTCTAGCATTTGGGATGGGCCTGGGGGGGATCTCTCAGCCCTGGAGGATGGGGGCGCTCTAGGGGGATGGGTCGGGGGACCCCTCGTCTAAGCAATGGAGGAGCTGGGGTGACGGATTGGGGGGACCCCTCATCCTGGGGGTTGGTGGGACTTGGGGGGACTTTGGGGGGACCCCACAGCCTTGGAGAAGCTCCAGGGGAGACAGGTGGGGGGCTCACCCTGGGGCGAGGGTGGGGGGCGTGTTACCTGCCTCCAGCCGGCCCCAGTTCACCATCTGGAAGAGGGGCTGGGCCTTGAGCTGGGCGCACTGGTTGTCCCGGAAGCCCAGGCGGCCGGCGGGATCCTTGGCCATGAGCCCCTCGCAGGCGGCCCGGCAGGCGGCGCTGAACTTCTCCGAGTATTTCACCGGGTCGTGCAGGATGCGCCGGGTCACCTCCTTGTTCTCCACCTGCACGGGGGGCGGAGTGACGGACGGGTGAGCACCGCCTTCCCGACGCCCCTTCCCCCTTCCAATGCCCCCCTCCAGCCCCCC